AATGGCTATAATTAACAAGACAGGAAACAACAAATGTTGGAGAGGATGTGGAGAGAAGGGAACCCTCGTACACTGCTGGTGGGAGTGTAAACTGGTGCAGCCACTATGGAAAACAGTATGGAGAATCCTCAAAAAATTAAAAATAGAAATACCATATGATCCAGCTATTCCACTGCTGGGTATTTTTCCAAAGAACATGAAAACACAAAGGCATAAAGATACATGCACCCCTATGTTCATTGCGGCATTATGCACAATAACCAAGACTTAGAAGCAACCTAGATGCCCATCAAGGGATGAATGGATAAAGAAGATGTGGTATATATACACAATGGAATACTACTCAGCCACAAGAAATGATGAAATCCGGCCATTTATGACAACATGGATGGAACTTGAGGGTATTTATGCTAAGTGAACTAAGTCAGAGGGAGAAAGTCAAATATCGTATGATCTCACTCATAAGTAGAAGATAAAAACAAGAAACAAACACAGAGAGACAGAGATTGGATTGGTGGTTTCCAGAGGGGAAGCGGGGAGGGAGGAGGGTGAAAGGGGTGATTAGGCACATGTGTGGTGATGGAGTGTAATTAGTCTTCGGGTGGCGAACACGATGTAAATCTAGATAGAAATCGAAATACAGTGAAGTACACCTGAAAGCTGTATACTGCTATAAACCAGTTACCGCAATAAAAAAATTTAAATTTAAATTAAAAAAGAAAACTAAAGAAAAAATAGCTTTAACTCATGGGTAAAATGCAAAATAAATAACTTAAAAAGGATGAAAAGAGCGGCAGAATATGTTTGTTTCTTGGAACCATTGAAACCACAAAATTGGAATCCACAGCCAGAGCAAGCAAGTGACAGTGTCCAGCAGCTGGATAGGAAGCACACCGAGTTCAAGGGCAGCCTTCCCCTCCGGGCCTTGGCCTCGGCTGCTCCCCCTGCCTGATACACCCTCTCCTGACATCCATGGGCCTCCGCCTCGGCTCCCTCAGGTCAGAAAGGCGGTCCCAGGCCACCCGATCTCAAATGACACCTCGTCGCCCCATTTTGCTTTTCCCGTATCGTGTCGCCATCCGCCACACTATATATGTCACTCGTTTATCCTTTTTCTCCGCTGTCTTGATGTCCACGCCACCTGTGCAGGGAATTTCATCTTTCTCTTCCCTGTAGTGGCTCCAGGGCCTCGAACAGGACGGAGCACACATTAGGCCCTCAAGGGAGATTTATTAATCAGATGGAAAGCAGCCATCCTCTTTGGCTAGGGGCGGGAATGGACAATACCGGCTTCGACACCTGCTTCCTCCGGGGACAAAAGTGGGGGAGTGAAACACAGACATTCTCCACCATATTCCTGCTGCTTTGGTTTCTCCCTGGTTGGATGGCACACAGGTGATTTTTGTTGTTAGTTTTTTTTAATTGAGATCCAGTTGACATTATTTAGTTTCAGGTGTACAACATAATGATTTGATATTTACATATATTGCGAAATGATCGCCACAATAAATCTAGTTAACATCCATCACCACACACCGTTACAAATTTTTTTTTCTTGTGATGAGAACTTTTTTTTTCTTTTCTTTTGAGGAAGATTAGCCCTCAGCTAACATCTGCTGCCAATCCTCCTCTTTTCGCTGAGGAAGCCTAGCCCTGAGCTAACATCTGTGCCCATCTTCCTCTACTTTATACGTGGGACGCCTAGCACAGCATGGCTTGCCAAGCGGTGCCATGTCCACACCTGGGATCCGAACCAGCGAACCCCGGGCCGTCAAAGCGGAACGTGCGCACTTAACCACTGCGCCACCCAGGCCAGCCCCGTGATGAGAACTTTTAAGATCTATTCTCTTACCAATTTTCAAATATACAATTCAGTATTATTAATATAGTCCCCATGTGCACATCCCATGCGCCAGGACTCATTGATTTTATAACTGCAAGTTTACGCTTTTGGATCCCCCTTCATCCATTTCACTGACTCCCCCTTCCCTGATTTTTTTAAAATTCTGGTAAAATATACATAACATAAAATTTCCCATTCTAACCATTTTTAAGGTGTGTAGTTCAGCAGCATTAAGCACATTCATATTGCTGTGCAGCCATCCCCACCATCCATCTCCAGAACTTTCTCATCTTCCCAAACTGAAGCTCTGTCCCCACGAACACCAACTCCCCGTCCCCTCCCCCAGGCCCTGGCCCCACCGTCCGCCTTCCCGTGTCTACGGCTGTGACTCCTCTGGGGACCTCCTGGGAGCGAAATCAGACAGTATTTGTCCTTGTTCATCTGGCTTCTTGGACCTCGAATGTTTTCAAGATTCGTCCACCTTGTAGCGTGTTGGAGACTCATTCCTGGTTATAGCTGAATACGCCTCCGTCGTGTGGCTCTACGCTATTTCGTTTATTTATCTGTTGATGGACACTTGGGTTGTTTCCATCTTTTGCCAAGTTAATGGTTTTATTTATTTCTACACCTTTTTGAATGCCTGAAATATTTCATAATAAAACAACTCCACACAATAGGTCTCCATGTAGTGGGAAGGAAAGATCGCCAAGAAATATTGTTACAGGAAAAAGAAAATGGCACTTTCTCCACGCCTGGCTCTGTTCTAAGCTCTTTACATGTATTAACTCTTTTTTTTTTTTTTTTTTTGGCTGAGGAAAACTGGCCCTGAGCTAACATCCCCTGCCAATCTTCCTCTTTTTGCTTGTGGAAGATTGGCCCTGAGCTAACATCTGTGTCCATCTTCGTCTATTTTGTATGTGGGACGGCCACCACAGCACGGCTTGATGAGCAGCATGTAGATCTGCAGCCGGGATCCGAACCTGTGAACCCCAGGCCACTGAAGCATAGCGTGTGAACTTAAGCATTGCACCGCTGGGCCGGCCCCGTGTATTAACTCACTTCTCTGAGTTTGGGACTCTGCTTAGCCCCATTTTGCAGAAGAAGAAACTGAGGCACGGTGAGTTAGGGGAATGCCCAGGATCACACAGTGGCTAAGCTGGGATTTGAACCCAGACCTTCCGGCTCCAGGCCTTGTGTGTGTAACTCCCTTATGTCCTCTCGAGACCAGCATAGAATGTCCCGTCCGCAGCTCGTGGGAATTTTCTAGACGCCGTGTTCCCCAAAGGCGTGGAACTTCCTCGGATTCACTGGTGGACTCAAGACTGTTTTGGGGAGCGGGCCGACTGTCCCCTGAACCCTCCCCTTGGACAGGACACAAAGGGACTTTGTTTTTAGTTCGCCAGCTCCTGGCTTTTCCCTGGTCTGCCGGGAGTTCGGAGGGGCCCCTCCCTGCAGCCCTCCCGGGGGATCCCCCAGTTCTAACTTCCTCCTGAAAACCCGCTGGGGCAGGGTGGGCACTGTCCTGGTTTGCCCAGGCCTGTCCCAATTTTAACCCGGAAAGTCCCCGTCTGGGAACCCCCCTCTGTCCTGGGTAAACCCCATTGGTGGTGGGGTGACCCCAGCCTTCCTGTTGGGCCTGGACCCCGTCTGTGAGGGAGGAGTTCTAGAAGGAGGCCGAGGGCCCCAGGGCCACACGCCAGCCTTTCCAGTAGCCTCTGTGGTTGAAAGAAACTGAGAGCTCAGAGAATTCTGAGTCCGCAGCCCTGGGCCCAGCGTCCAGGCTGGGACAATGGGAGCTATTTCTGGAATTTGTTGTTATTCCTGGGCTTGTGATCACTGTTGCTGTTACTAGTCACCTCACTCGGTATTTCCTGTGGGTTTTTCCTCAGCTGGTGGAAACTGGGTCCCGGACCATCCAGCCCTCTGTGGTTCAGCCTCTGGGCCCAGCAGAGGCCGCCCCACCTCGCTGCTCTGGCTGTTGAGGAATCTGGCACCACCAGCTTCCTGCAGCCACACCCCTAGTGGCAGAGAGGAAGTTGAGGCCGAAGGCCATGGCCAGTGGGCAGGACAGCAGCTCAGGCCCAGATGGCTCCCTGGGCCGTTCCCTCACCAGGTTCTTAGGTGCCTACTGGATACCAGGCACGATTCCAGGTGCTGTGGACACAGTGGAGAACCACATAGACCCCTCACTATGGAACTGACATTCTAGAATGGAATCAGGCATTAAAATCAGGGCTCCAAGAAACTTCCAGGGAAATGTCAGGTTGTCATAAAGGCCACAAAGAAAAATAAGCAGGCGAAGGGACAGAGAGATGGAGTTGCTGATTCAGACTGAGGACCCTCTGGGGGAGTGGTGAGGGTTTCTACCTTGGCCTGGGTAGTTGGTTTTTGCTTCTGTTCTTTGTGGGGTTTTTTTTTTTTTTTTTTTGGGGTGAGGAAGATTGGCCCTGAGCTAATATCTGTTGCCCATCTTCCTCTTTTTTCTCCCCAAAGCCCCAATACATAGATGTATATTCTAGTTGTAAGTTCTTCTATATGGGATGCCCCCACACTATATCTTCGTGAGCGATGTGTAGGTCTGTGCCCAGGATCTGAACCAGTGAACCCTGGGCTACCAAAGCAGAGCACTCAAACTTAACTGCTGCACCACGGGGCCGGCCCCATAAAAGTTTTTTTTTTTTTTTTAAAGATTTTACTTTTTCCTTTTTCTCCCCAAAGCCCCCCGATACACAGCTGTATATTCTTCGTTGTGGGTCCTTCTAGTTGTGGCATGTGGGACGCTGCCTCAGCGTGGTTTGATGAGCAGTGCCATGTCCGCGCCCAGGATTCGAACCAACGAAACACTGGGCCGCCTGCAGCGGAGTGCGCGAACTCAACCACTCAGGCATGGGGCCAGCCCCTAAAAGTTTTTTTTTAACGCACAGTGAAGGAAAACTGTTTCTCTACTCACAGCTCTTCTGACACCCAATGTGTGGTTCCACACCAAGCAATTCTCCAATTTTCTGTGGACACTAACTTGGTGTCCTACAGTTCAATTCAGTTCTCACATTGACTACCCGGAGTTAGTGCAGACCCCAAAGGTTGAGGACTCGGTCCCACAAGACTGTCCCCCACTTCAGATGCCAATCTCAAGTCCCCGTTTGTCACCTCTATTTCTGACCGACCGCTCTGAATGGGGGGTTGCTATGACCCCCCTTCTCAGATTCAATAATTTGCTACAGAGGCTCCCAAAACTTACAGAAACATTTACCTAGGTCTCATTTATTTGTTTATTTTATTTTTTTATTTTTATTTTTATTTTTTTGAGATTTCCAAAACAACATATTTATTTTGAGATTTGAGAATAACGGGAAAACTAAGTAATGGGAATTGGACCCTCATCGGGGTCTTCTGGGAAATCGGAAGCACCGCCCTCTTCCGCAGCTCAATGCTTCTCCAGTTTAGCGATCAATTCTTTCGCTGGATTGAAGATGCCATTGGTTTGCTGGTCACAGACATAGCAGCGCGGGGTGGTGCGGAAATGCTGCAGTGCACAGCTCTCGCAGAAATAATGCCTGCACTTGGTGACAACTGGGTTTTGGAAGGTCTGGCAACAGATGGAACACTTGAATGGTATTTCCTCATCATCGCTGCCCACTTCATAGTTTTCGTCCTCATAGACACCATAGCGACCCTCATCAAGCTCACGTTCGATCTGCCACCCATGCTTGTAATCTGAACGATCATGGAGGAATTTGCAGCTGTCTCCGAAGCCGCAAAAGCCAGTCTCCTTGTAGTCCTTACAAATGTCGGGCTGGTAATCCCAGCGCACGGTGGCGCGTAGATGCTCGGGAGCTCGGATGGGGCCTTTCCTCACCATCCCGGAGGACGCATTGCCCATAGACGTATCCTTGGGCTTCATGTATTTCTGATAATTGTTGATTCCCCGATAGATCTTGTCATCTTCCTTGCCCCTCAGCTCCTCCTGGATCTTCTGGCTGCGCTCAAAGATGGCTTGTGCGTCGCGCTCCTTCTCTGCGTCTAGCGCGTAGACAGCAGTCGCCCCCATATCCTCTGGCCCCACGGGTTTCGCCGAGCGGGTGGACTTATAGACCACGCCGAGAGTCTCGGGCTCCTTCTCCTCCTCTTCCTCGCTGCTCAAGTCCCCGTAAGCCGCCTTCTGTTTACCACTGCCACGGGTCTTCCGCATCATCCGATTGTGGGTCGCCCTCTTTTCCGGGCGAACCACAGTGCTGCCTTCTTCGCTGCTGCTGCTGCTGCTGTCTCCGCGCTCTTGGTCGCGGACTGGGCGCTTTCTGCGACCTGCAGCCCCTTTCCGCCCAGGCTTTTTGAAGAGGAAGGTGCACGCCTGCTCTGTCATCTTTCCTGGAGAAAGTTGCTCTGCCATTTTGGAGTCCCGAGCTCCGAAACGGCTGCAGCGTGGTGGGTCGCGCGGGGCCTGTTCACGTCACTTCGCGGCGTGCGCGCGGCTGCGAGTCGGAGCAAAATAAGCCGCGGAAAGAGGACTGCGTACTTGTTTATTTTTTTTGAGGAAGATTAACCCTGAGGTATTATGTGCTGCCAATCCTCCTCTTTTTGCTGAGGAAGACTGACCCCGAGCTAACATCCGAGCCCATCTTCCTCTACTTTATATGTGGGACGCCTACCACAGCATGGCTTGACAAGTGGTGCCATGTCCACACCCGGGATCTGAACCCGCAAACCCCGGGCTGCCAAACGGAACTTGCGAACTTAACCGCTGCACCACCGGGCCAGCACCTCATCAGTTTATTCTAAAGGATGTGATAAAGGATACAGATGGACAGCCAGAGGAAGACGTACAGAAGGCGAGATGGCAAGGGTCCTGAGCACAAGGGCTTCTGTCCCCGTGGAGTTGGGCTGTGTCACCCCCAGGCACGTGGATGCGTTGACCGGCCTGAAAGTCTCCAGATCTTGTTCTTTGGGGTTTCTATGGAGGTTTCATTCCGCAGGCATGACTGACGGAACCATTGGCCACTGGGGATTGAACTCAAGCCCCACCCCTCTCGGTCCCCGGATGGAGGTGGGGGCCGACCATCCCTCTAATCCCCTGGTTGGTTCCTGGGGGCAACAGCCCGCCTCCGAGAGTCGCCTCATTAGCATAAACTCGTGCTTCGTTGACCAGGCTTATTATGAATTACAGAAGATGTTCCTCTCATCACTATCACTCGGAAAATTCCGAGAATTTTAGGAGCTCTGAGCCAGGAACCAGGGACTAGAGCCAAATAGTGTAACAAATCTTGCCCCTGTTACCCCTTTCACTCAGGTTTTTAGAAGCCCGGTTCCATGGGGCCCTGCCGGGTGGCACAGAGGTTAAGTTCCCACGTTCCACTTTGGCGGCCCCCAGTTAGCTGGTTCGGATCCCGGGTGTGGACATGGCACCGCTTGGCAAGCCATGCTGTGATGGCATCCCACATAGAAAGTAGAGGAAGATGGGCACGGATGTTAGCTCAGGGCCAGTCTTCCTCAGCAAAAAAGAGGAGGATTGGCAGCAGTTAGCTCAGGACTAATCTTCCTCAAAAACAAACAAACAAAAAAAGAAGCTCTGTTCCAGGAATCACCAAATATCTGTCTTATATATCCCGATAGCACACGTGGAAAGGCCAGGTCTTTCGGACAAGGGGTGTTATGGGTTCAAAGTTCTCAGACTCATCTGTCTGCCCAGTATTCCCATTCCTCCAGGACCCGCTCCTCCCCCGTCAGGGCCCTTATCTTAGCAGAAGAGGCTCTTGGGCTTGTGCGTTTCGACAGCCTTACAATTCTGTACCCCACACATCAGGCTGTGGGCACCGTCATCGACATCGGTGAAGATGAGATGGTGTCAAGGCCGGCACAAACTACTGAGCCCGTGTGTTCCCTCACACACAAGAATGTTCCCTTTGGCAACAAAATTGGAAGCCGCATAAAAGGCCGCCGCCAGGAGAATGGACAGTTAAGTTTCGAGCTCTTGTTCTGTCCAGTGGGAATATGATACGGCAGAGAAAAGGAGTGTTCTAGAGCCCCTTGCATCAGCGTGGATGGATCTCGTCTCAAGAATGTGTGTTGAGGAGGGCTGGCCCCGTGGCCGAGTGGTTAAGTTCGCGTGCTCCGCTGCAGACGGCCCAGTGTTTGTTGGTTTGAATCCTGGGCACGGACGTGGCACTGCTCATCAAACCTCGCTGAGGCAGCGTCCCACATGCCACAACTAGAAGGACCCACAACGAAGAATATACAACTATGTACCGGGGGGCTTTGGGGAGAAAAAGGAAAAAATAAAATCTTTAAAAAAAAAAAAAGAATGTATGTTGAATAAATAGCATTAAGTGGCAGTGTAACCTCGGGACCCCCGGACCAGTTCAGCTGACCCCATCTTATCAACAGTGTAAATCAGAGCAGTTTTCCAGGAACTGAGGAACTGCCCGTCTGGTTCAGGCTGGCTGAGGCCACCAACACATCAACTGGGCCTGTGTAAATGCCTGAGAAGTGACCCTTTTGATATCAAGGGGCTGTCACCCTTGACATCACCATTTTATGAACACGTGTCCTACGAAGGGCCACGGAGCTCGACCACGCTTGCGCAGACCATCAGTCGCCTCGCCTCTCTCACCTCCGATCATCTGTCTCCACACTTCAGACCGCTCTGCCCTTCGTCCCACAAATTCGGCCCCAGCCCTGGATGGGGGAGACAGACTGGAGAGCACGTGCCCCTGGCTCCTTGCCCATCGATCTAGCAATAAAGCTGATGCTGTAATAATTGGCTTTTTTAATGTGCATCAGGCAAGAGAACCCCAACTTTGTGCTGTAACAGCAGAAGGACATGTGCAGTATAATATATTTTTATAAAGTCAAAAAGGGCACAAAACAGTAATTTAGTGTTTGATGATCTAAGTCCAGTGAAGAGTTATAAAAATATCTGAGGAAGTGTATTCCAGGCAGACAGAGCAGCGGATGCAAAGGCCCTGAGGCCAGACTGTGTGTGGTGTGTTGGAGGAGCAGCAAGGAGGCCCATGTGGCAGAAGCACAGTGAGTGAGAGGGAGAGAGGGAGGTGCTGGGGCAGGTCATGCAGGGCGTGTGGGCCACAGAAAGAGGTTGGACTTTTCCTGAGTGAGGTGGGAGCCAAGGAGGGTTCTGAGCAGGTGAAGGACATGGCCTGACTCAGGCGCTTACAGGTGCACACCGGGCAATGCAGGGAGGTTCTCAAACAGGACAGAAGCTACTGCACTGGTCCAAGCATATGATCATGGAGACTGGATGGGGAGGTGTGAGAAGCAGGAATATTTCGCTGATGAACCAGAGTGGGGTGTGAGAGAAATGGGGAATTCAAGGAGGACCCTAAGATTTCTCTCCCTGAACTAACCAATATTTCCATTTTTCTCTTGAATCCTTCCAAAGGTGGGGTGAGCACCACAATAAAATACATTCTTTTTTCCTTCTTCTCCCCAACACCAGTACATAGTTGTATATTTTCGTTGTGGGTCCTTCTAGTTGTGGCATGTGGGACACTGCCTCAACATGGCCTGACGAGCAGTGCCATGTCCACGCTCAGGATCCAAACGCTCGAAACCCTGGGCCACTAAAGTGGAGCATGCAAACTTAACCACTCAGCCATGGGGTGGCCTCACAATATGTTCTTTTTATTCCTCTCTTTTATTATTTTTTTTTCTGCTTTATCTCCCCAAACCCCCCCTGTACACAGTTGTATATCTTAGTTGCAGTGGGATGTGGGATGCTGCCTCAACATGGCCTGATGAGCGGTGCCATGTCTGTGTCCAGGATCCGAACCCTGGGCCGCCGTAGTGGAGCACGCGAACTTAACCACTTGGCCACGGAGCCGGCCCCGCCTCTCTTTTATCATGAAATATATAGATACTTTGGAGATGTCTCCACACCAGTACAGAGCCCTTATTTTTTTTCCCAGCTGCATATTATCCCCTTGTCAGGATGAACACTGTTCACTCCCCAGGTCCCAGGGTCCTGGCACTCACTACCCACCAGGCGCCAGGATGAGTCTCTATCTGCAACTTCACCCTGAATCTGCACAGCTGCCCTGTGAGGAAGAGTTTGCTTTTCCCCTATTTTCTCAGACTCAGAGAGGAGCAGCCACAGCTGTTATGGCTCCAAGTCCAGAAAGAAACCTGGCTCTGCCCTTTTGTGCTTTGTGACCCGGGAAAGTCACTTGATCTCCGTTAAAGAAAAAATTATTTGGACGCTCGTTAAGACGGTAAGGAAGACTTTATTCAGGACTACCACAATGTGGAAGAGAGGGCTTGTCACCGCACTCAGTGGGTCCGTCTCTTGGTGAGTGCTGAGCCAAAAAGCATAACCGAGGCTGAAGTGGGTGAAGAAAGGTTTATTACTTGAACGAGCAATGGAGAACATGGGGGACAGCTCCTAAAGCAGTGCACCCCTCCCCCGCTGGAGGAGCCTTTATAGGCCAGAGTGCAGAGGATAAGTTACGACTGTGTAACAACTGGGCCCAATCAGGGAGCATGTGCATGCCCACATTACATAACAACTTCAATGTAACGTGCCATTACATGACAAGGTCAAGGAACATGTCATTACATAACGGGTCCAAGGTAGCCTTTGGACACTTAGAGCTGGAGTGATTTGCAGGGCTCCCCCGGCAACACACGTTTGCCTGAAGGATGGCAACTGCTGCCAAAACAAGGACATCAACTTCTGAAAAACAGCACACTGAGTTTTCTCCTTGTCTGGAAAGCGTTTGACAGGCTGTTTAGTTATGGATCAGATTTTCAACAGCCCTTTCAGTTACTGCACAAAATTGGGCTTCTCTGCCCAATGCACATAAACAACCCAGTTAATTATGCCATCAGCCTTTGGAGGAGAAATCAGCCTTTACTCTGTGAGATGGATCTGCCGGGAGACAGGGGGCGTTTGCCCTCAGACCTGTCTCCCCGATTCAGGATTTGGGGTGAAATTTCAGAGACTCAGGAGAACAGGCTGGCACACGGAAACGCTGGTGGGACAGATCTTGATCAGTGGGCTTCGAGTATTTATTTATTATTTCTAAACATCTATGACAGGGCGGGGAAGGAATTTTAACATCGGATCTTCCTGGATGAGGGACCCCTCTTTCCTGTAAAGAGTCCGACTTTCAAGTCCCACTCGGCTCCCGGTCCTTGGGTTCCGTGGGGAGGAGGGTCTTAGTTCTGAGGTTATTTCAGGTCACAATTTCTTCTTTCAGGCATGCTCTGGCTACATGACTTTGCAGTTTTTCTGAAAAACAATTCTTAATCACTGTGTTGATAAGAGGTGGAGTCAGTTGAACTGGTCCTGGAGTGCCTGTGGTTACACTTTCCTTGCCTCGTTTCTGTTGACAATCCGCCTCAACTGTGAAGGCAGCAAAGACAGCTGGGAACTGCCAAAGAGCAGGGAGAGGGGGTTCATGCATGGAAAACTACTAAGAGAAGACATCAAGGGCAGGGGGATTCTTGCTAAACTGACCTATCAAGAGTCTTGCTAAGGAGAGGCCATGGGGGCATGCCCGGTGGCACAGTGGCTGAGATTGCACGCTCCGCTTCGGTGGTCGGGGTTCACTGGTTTGGATCCCAGGTGTGGACACCTACACATCACTGTCAAGCCATGCTGTGGCAGTGGCCCACATTCAAAATAGAGGAAGACAGGCACAGATGTTAGCTCAGGGCCAATCTTCCTCATAAAAAAAAAAAAAGAGAGAGAGAGAGAGGGAGGGAGAGAGACCACAGACTCAAAGGTGGGGATGAAGAACTTGATCTTCTGTCTTATACATCAAAGGTGGGGGGATGACTTAGAAGACTTCTTTGCTCAGCCTGGACAGGGCAGGCCAATGCCAGGACTGGGGCCAAGGTTGAGGGTTAGTGGAGAAGAGCGCTCAGAGGACTAAAGTTTGGTCAAGGAGAGTCTTTGTCACTTCTCTGTGCCTCAGTTTCCTTCTCTGAGAGACGGGAAGAATGACGATCAAATGAAATAATGCGTGTAAAACGCTCAGCGCAGAGCCTTCTCAGTAAATGGCAGCGACTTTCTGTGTGGGGATCAGAACTCGGATCCGGTGGGACGTGCAAGCTGCTCCCTTGACAGCAAGCGGGCCTCAGAGGCCAGCGCTGCAGCCGATCAGGAAAGCGAAGTGAACAGGTGGGCGAGGCGGGTCGGCCCGGGGAAGAGAGGCAGGACGGAATGGGGAGCCGTATGGCAGGGGGATTGCAGGATCGAATGGCGGCCGGCTGCATCCTTGATCGCCGGGGTGAGGACATGCGACCTGCACCAGGGTCAGGTCCGGAAGCCTGGCTTCGCAGACATTTGGGGTCGCGGTACCCAGGGAGGGCTACACTCTCTCGCCCGCCGGTGTGGGTCACCCTCTTCCGCATCCCCGCCCATCCCGTGGCAGCCAATCGCGGACGCTGCAGCGCTTCCGGGCGCCGTCCTCCAGCCAATCGCGGTTGAGCGAAAAGAAAATTGAGGCCAGAGACCAATAGGAGCGCTGCTGTTACAGCGACAGGACCAATGGTTACGTGCGAGGGGGCAGTGCGATCACCAATGAAAGTGCCCGTTACAGGCGGCCAATGGGAGGCGGCTTCTCGGCGGCGATCAAGCGGCGGCTGCCCTGGCGGCGGGGCCACGGGTCAAAGCGGGAGGCCCGGGACCGGTGAGCCTGGAGCGGGGCGCGGACCGGGCACGCCCGGAGGTCGTCGGGAGGAATGCGGCCGCGGGAGGCGCGGGGCTGGCTGCGTTTGGCAAGAGGTGGATCGGAGCACCCTCCTGACTCGTCGACGCCCGGTGGGTGCACATCGCGGTCCCCACCCCTGCCAGTTGGGTTTGGAGGTTTCGGGTGTGTGGGGTGCAGATGTCACCCCGACCGCATCCTCAAGGCCGGGTCGGGGCCCAATGGGAACGGGGAAGGAGGAGATGGGGACCCCAAAAGCCCCATGCCCACCATGTTGTCTCTCACGTTAGTAGATCATAACAGCGGACATTTACGGGGCGCTTACTGCATACCGGGCCCTGTCCCGGCGCTTTCCCTGCCTCATCTCATTGAATCCCGCGAACAACCCTTTGAGGGCGAAATTGTCAGATCCCCATTTTCCAGATGGGGAGAGAGGCTCCGAGAAGAGCTGATGCCTGAGGAATCTGTCCCTGTGCTATTACACGTCTCCCTTTCGGTCACTGTCTTAATTCAGGAACATCCGTGACATTCCTGACAGCCCCGCCCTGGAGATACTGGAGCCTCAGGAGGCTTGGGCCCCGGGCCGGGCTCTGGAAAAGTCCCAGAGCTGGATTTGGGGAGAGAGAGCAGAACACAACCCCTCCTAGGCTCCGGGGAGCCGGCAGGGACTTGGGGGCTCATGAGGGTGGACGTGGAAGGCAGGAATCTTAGCCTGAAAGAGAAAAACGCTCAGGATGAAGAACGATCTGATGAATGAATAATGACCTGATGAATAATAACGACCTGATGAATAATAATGATTCTATTCTTATTTTTTCCTCATGCTTGTTTTTTCATGCCTGTTTCAAGGTCCGTGCTAAACGTGTAACATGCAGAACTGCGTTGAAATGTCACCACCATCTTTTCATGGCAACGCTCTCAGCATCTCCATTTTCCAGATGGGGAAACTGAGGCCCAGCGTGGCCAAGTGACTTGCCTGAGTTGACACAGGGAGAGCCAGGATTCGGCCCCAGGTCTGTTTGACCACGCCTGCCTGCCTGGTTATTTTGGGAAGGCGGGTTCAGAGCAGATTTTCGTATGGGTGCAAATTTGTCCAATAAAGGGGGTTCGGGTTGTTACTGTTGGGGACGCATCCTCCAGCTCCACTGAACAGATGTGGAAGCTGAGGCTCAGGGAGGGGAATTGGGTGCCTGAGGTACAGCAAGAGGGGTCTGGAATCTTCCCCTCGCGCCTCAGTCTGGACGGGTGGAATGTCGAGGTGCTAAAAGGACCCTCCAGCCTGAGGCCTGGGGACTGACGGGCTGTCCCTTCTCAGCCCCCCAGCTGTCAAGAGCATGCCTCTGTGCCACTGGGGGACCACCGCCAGGGGCAGCGAGCCCCATGGAGATGGAGCTCAGGCTATGGCCACCAGGGGAGGCCTGAAGGTACTTCTGCACTGGGCTGGCCCCGGCGGCGGGGAGCCCTGGGTCACCTTCAGCGAGGGCACACTGACCGCGGAAGAAGTCTGCATCCACGTTGCTCACAAAGTCGGTGAGTCCCGTGGCAGGGCTGGGGTGCTGCAGCAGCTGGGCCTTCCATCCATCCGCCTGCTTCTTCCTTCTGCAGACCTTGAGTGAGCACCTTGGTGGAGGTGCTATTCCACCAGGAAAATCAGCAAGAAACACAATAAAGAAGAAAAACAGCGAGGAGGCCAGATGATGGCCAAAACTTAAAAACTTAAAGCGATAAGGAAGGGGACCACGGGGATATCTGGGGGAAGAGGGGACCAGGCAGAGGGAGCAGTAAGTGCAAAGGCCGTGAGGTAGGAATTTGCTGGCAACAGTGAGGAGGCCAGTGTGGCTGGAGTGGAGTGAGTGAAGGGGAGCATGGAGTAGGGAGGTGACGGTGCAGGTGGTGCAGGGCCTCAGAGCCTCAAGGAGGACTTTGGTGGATTTCACTCCAAGTGAGGCAGGAGCCATGAAGGACATGACTGGCCTCAGGTGTCAGAGGGGCCGTCTGGCTGCCATGAGGGGAACAGACTGTTCCGTAGAATCAGAAGGCTGATTCTTAAAGAACTCAAACAGGTTTGCTGGGTGACGTGAAGCAAGCCTGGCAGAGGGCCCAGAAAATCTGATCCGTTTGAGGAAGCAAAAGACCTCAAGAGTAACTGGAGTGTTTGTTTGAAAGAGGAAGTAGGAATTGAAAGCAGAACATAATTGTCAGGGTCCAGGTCCAGGTTATTCTGTGCTGAGGGGGTTGTTTCTCAGGGGGCAATGGGGAGCCACGGAAGGTTTAAGCCAGAGAGTGAAACAGTCCGATTGGTTCTTTAGGAAGTTGTCTCTGAGGGAGGCATTCTCCCTCTGTGGCAGGCAGTACACTTGGATATGGCGACTTTGGAGAGCAGTTTGGTCTCATCTAACGTGGCTGAGATGGATATCCTCTGAGGTCACACAGTTCCACTTCTAGAAATGTGCCCACAGACTCTTACTTAGCTCAAGTGCACCAGGAGACGCATACGAGAATATTCAGAGCTGCCTCATTTATCTTAGAGAAAACAGGAGATCATCTCATAGCCCCTCTACAAGAGAATGCACAAATAAATCGCAATATGGTCTAACCCTGGAATACTATACAGCCAGGAAAAGGGAATTTAACCTAAGTTACACATATCACGTGTAAAGCTTTAAAACCTGTTGGAGTGTGAAAAAGCACATTGCAGAAGGCCACTTATAATACCGCGTTTAGAGTTTGTATCATTCTAGACGAGGTCATGGAGGATACGAAAATGATAAATTCTACTTCGAGAGTGTGGTTAGCTCTTCACGGGAGGGGAAAGGAGGTGGATGTGGGAGGGAGCTTCCGTTGCACTTGCCAGGTTTTCTTTCATTATCTGGTGGCTGGTATTTAGGTGATTAGAAATTCTTCTGAATGGACTATTTTCGATAAAGTTTTTAAGTGATGTGTATAAGTGGCACCGTGGGTGGCCGGTGTGGGGAATGGTGGCAAGTCTGGAGGCTGGCGTGGGGCTGGGCTTTCGCTTTAAAGGAATCGAGTGGGTCCCAGAGGGATGGAGGATGCAGAAAGGGCAGGACTTGTCCTCGATCTGATGTGACAGGATGGGAGCAGTTGAGAAGGACCAAGTCGTGGCTTAAGGAACTGAGCAGAGGCGGGGCAAGTTTGGGGACCTCGGATGAGATCTGTTTGGAACCAGGCACATCTAAGGGGGCTTGGGATATCCCAGGGGAGACCGCAAGGAAGTCCTAGGATGTTTCTTCAGGGCCAGAGTTGAGCAAGAAATCAGGCAAAGGGCAAGTTTGTAAAGTTGTGTCAGTCCGTCTACAATGGGTTTTGCTGCAGTAACAAGCAGCCCCCTGTATTGTCCTGGGTTGGGACAACGAAGGTGGGACCAGCCGCAGTGGCCTCGTGGTTAAGTTTAGCATGCTCCCCTTCAGCGGCCTGGGTTAGGTTCCTGAGCGCGGACCTACACTGCTCTGTTAGCACCCATGCTGTGCTATCGGCCCACATACTAAAAAGTAGAGGAGGATTGGCATGCATCTTCCTCAGCAAAAAAGAAAGACAGTGAAAGTGTCTAAAACCTAAGGCAGGTCGCATGGTTCATTTCTGTTTTGTAGTTTCACCAGCAGACACACCAGGGAAGATGGCAGGAGGATTTATTTGGATGCCTGGAAACATGCGCATCCCTTCTGCCCATATCCCATTGGCCAGAAAGTGGTCCAATGGCTGCATCCTAGCTGCAAGGGATGCTGGGAAATGTAGTCTCCTGTGAGGCCTCAGCCTGGTCGCCATATTGCATGGTCCCCTGTGGGCAGGGGAGGAGGCCCAGGGAGGGCTAGTGAAGGGAGACAGCAGGTTTGGAGCATCTGGGGCGGATGGCAGCAGACGCTGGCCCCTGACCTCATCCCACCCCGTTCCAGGCATCACCCCACCATGCTTCAACCTCTTCGCCCTCTTCGATGCCCAGGCCCAGGTCTGGCTGCCTCCGAACCACATCCTGGAGGTCTCTGGAGACACAAGCCTGACTCTGCACTTCCGCATGAGGTCGGGGAAGGCCCCTTGGAAAGCGGGTCCCCTTTCGTTCTGCCCCCACTCTCCCCAGCACACCCCCTTCCTGGAGCTGCTCAGCCCTGGCGGCACCCCTCCCTCCCTGCAGGTTTTACTTCCGGAACTGGCATGGCATGAATCCACAGGAGCCGGCCGTGTACCGCTGCGGGCCCCCGGGGGCCGAGGCTCACTCCGGACAGGCAGAGCAGGGCATGCAGCTCCTGGACTCAGCTTCCTTTGAGTACCTCTTCGAGCAGGTGCGAGCAGGGCTGGGAGGCGGGACTGTTTGTGGGGGGCTTGGGGGCAACTGAGAAGCCCCCACTTCCCTCCCCAGTTCACTCTAGCTGATAGGTTTCAACTCATTCTATCTGGGATCCTTTGGCTGCCTGAACCAAAGGGTTCTGAGACTTTTAGGATGGCATGGGAAAGCGTGCTGTGATCGATTAGTGATGTCTGCCACAGGCATAAGGTTGGGCAGAGGAGGTATGCATCCTGTGTATTTGGCCTTTCCAGAAAATGAGGAGTCCTTCATTTTCTGGGGGAATGAACAGGTTCTCGTGCTTTCTTTTCTGCCTGACTCCCCCATCCCCAGGGCAAGCACGAGTTTGTGAACGATGTGGCATCGCTGTGGGAGCTGTCGAGCGAGGAGGAGATCCACCACTTTAAGAACGAAAGCCTGGGCATGGCCTTCCTGCACCTCTGCCACCTCGCTCTCTGCCGCGGTGTCCCCGTGGAGAAGGTGGCCAAGAAGATCAGGTGTCTGGGAATGGGGGGGGGGTGGGGACACTGCATAGGTGGATGGAAATGACTGAGCATCTGGGACCCAGGGTTGACCTTGCATACTGCCGTGCCTTCATTCATTCCAGAGACAGGCAATCGACAAAATACAAAAGTAAAAGGTTCAGTGTTTTAGGTGCTGATAAATGCAAATGGGGAGAAGTTAGGCAGGAAGAGGAGGAAGGGGACCATCAGGGAGTGAGGGGCGTACAATTTAAAACTGGGGAGTCAGGCAGTTCCTCACTGAGCAGGTGACATTCAAATGCAAAGATCTGAAGGAAGTGAAGCAGGGGGCCATGTGGGCATCTGGGAGAATAGCGTTCTCTACAGAGGGCACAATCAGTGCAAAGGCTCTGGGGCCACCTTATATGTTGGAGGAAGCGTGGCTGGAGCAGAGTGAGCTTGGAGGACTCCCAAGAATTCAAGGGAAGGAAGGAGGCAGGAGTCCGAGTTGCTGGGAGCCAGCTCTGCTCCCTTCCACTGCAGTAAAGGCTGGGGCAATCAGGGCACACTGCCTGGAGGAGGCAGCAGGAGAGCTGGGGATTTCCAGACCAGTGGTTCTTCTTAAAGCACATGGTTTTCAGCCTGTGTTGTTATCACTGGAGGACTGGGGCTGGGACCCTGAAGCCCAGGGTGCTTCCCTGGGGAGGTGACATTGCTGCTGAGACCTGAAGGTTGAGTCGGCTTTACCCAGCAAGTGTTCTAGGCAGAGGGAACAGCACATCCAAAGGCCCAGAGGCAGAAAGCAGCAAAGGCCTGTCTCCAGGGAACTGAACTTGGAATGCGACTGGGCGAGTACACGAGGAGTGGGCCAGGCACTAATCGGGCCTTTTCCCGAGGGCCCTAGGGAGCCCTGGAAGGCTTGGAAGCGCGCGCGCGGGAGACAGCCAGAGGATCCCTCTGGTCAAGGGATTGGCGTGAAGCCTGGGGATGCGGAGACTGAGGCTGGGAAGCCTGTGATCTCAGTGGGCATCCTGGTGGTCGGCTGCAGGCCCAGCACTGGGGGGAAGGGGCCGGAGGCGGGGGGGGGGGGGGGGGGTGGGGGGGGGGGGGGGGGGGGGGGGGGGGGGGGGGGGGGGGGGGGGGGGGGGGGGGGGGGGGGGGGGGGGGGGGGGGGGGGGGGGGGGGGGGGGGGGGGGGGGGGGGGGGGGGGGGGGGGGGGGGGGGGGGGGGGGGGGGGGGGGGGGGGGGGGGGGGGGTGGGGGGGGCTTTATGAGGGGCAGAGGGGCCTCCCAGGGCTGTGCCTTTATGGATAATCATACTATTAACAATACAAACAATAGCGACTTCTCCAGTAATAATAACACCGACACTTGCCCTTATTATGTGCCAATCATTGGTCCTGACCTTCTCATCGGCTCTCGAGGTGTGTCCTGTTGATCGCATTTCATAGACGAGAAGTCACAGCCCTTTAGAGCTTAAGGAAGTGGCCCCAGAGATGGGGGTTCAGCCCCATAGTCTCCTCCAGTGGCTGTGCCTGCCTCTTTTCTCGACGGGGCGGCTGAGGCTCAGAGAGCTTAGGGGGCCCGCCGCCCGGGCTCCTGACCGCGTGTCCTCGGGTTTCCGCAGCTTCCAGGACTGCATCCCGCGCTCCTTCCGCCGCCAGATCCGCCAGCACAGCGCGCTCACGCGCCTGCGCCTGCGCAGCATCTTCCGCCGCTTCCTGCGGGCCTTCCAGCCGGGCCGCCTGTGCCAGCAGGTCGTCATGGTCAAGTACCTGGCCACGCTCGAGCGCCTGGCGCCCCGCTTCGGCTCGGAGCGCGTGCCCGTGTGCCACCTGGCGCTGCTGGCCCAGGCCGAGGGGGACCCCTACTACATCGGGGACAGCGGGCACGCCCCCTCGGACCCCGGGCCCGAGGCTGCTGCGGGACCCCCTACCCACGAGGTGCTAGTGACAGGCACCGGTGGCATCCAGTGGCGGCCGGTGCAGGCAGAGGTGAGCGGGCATCTGTTCCCGTCTTGGGGTACGGGGAGGGGGGACTGGGGCGGGGGCTCCTGTTCAACCTTGGCCGTGGCTGTGTCTGTCTGTCCCCTGGGTCTGTTTCTTGTGGAATGTCCTCTGCCTGCCTGCCCCCTGGGGACCTGATTTCTGGGGTCTGCCCCTTTGGGGAACCCTTTTCTCTGGCATCTCAGCTCCTCCTCTGCCTTTCCCTGGGTTCCGGCTTCTGGCATTCGTATCTCTTGGGTGTGCGTCCCGTATCCCACCTGTGACACCAGGACTCGCTGAGGGGATGCCTGAGGAGGTTGTCCAGTCCCTCCAGCTCCCATGTGTCCCCAGGGTGAATGTCGGGGGGACTCTACACAGGCATAGGCCCTGCTCCGTCCACCCACCCCACGTGCTGTGTTTCCAGGGTCCCAGTGGCAGTGGCAGTGGCAGCAACAGGAATCCTGGTGCTGGCCCATCCGGGAAGAAAGCCAAGGCCCAAGAGGTGGGCGACCAGCCAGTGGACAGGCCACGGGAGGTGCCGTGGACCTACTTCTGTGACTTCCAGGACATCACCCACGTGGTGCTCAAAGAACGCCACGTCAGCATCCACTGTCAGGACAACAGATGCCTGGTGGGGCCCGGGGCTGGGAGTCGGCGGGGCGGTGGGGGCGCTTCCGGCCTGCCATGCCCAACTGATGTCCCCCTGGCCTGCAGGAGCTGACGCTGCCTTCCCGGGCCTCGGCCCTGTCCTTGGTGTCGCTGGTGGATGGCTATTTCCGCCTGACAGCCGACTCGAGCCACTACCTGTGCCACCAGGTGGCCCCTCCACGGCTGGTGATGAGCATCCAGGACGGTATCCACGGCCCTCTGCTGTGAGTGCCCAGAAGGCAGGCGGGTGGCACCGGCTGCAGCGATGGCTGCCAGCTGGACCGTGAGTTCTGGGCACTGTGGGTGTGTGTGAGTGCATGCGGATTTTAAGAGTGTGCACACCTGCGAGTGTGCACACCGGGAATTATGCAGAGAGAGAGGGAACCTGTGATGGCATGGGCGGCGGATCGTGCTGAGAGGACTGGGTCTGGGACTGTCCCTGTGCACGTCCCGATGTTTAATAGCCTGCTTGCTATGCAGCCATGTCACTGCTCCAGTGACCGTGTTTAAAATTGTCATCGCACATTTTCTCACGGGACGGGATGGGTGGTTTTTGTGGGGCCGTGTGTGGTGCAAATGCTGGTGGCCATTCAGATGCCCGTCTGTCCTGGTATTTGTGGGTCGCTGTCTCAGCGATTCCGTTGGGACCTGTGGGGCTGAGAATGTGAAGTGTCATCATGTGGTCATCAGATGCGTGTGTCTCCGTCCTCCTGTGGCCGGGTCCGAGTTGGTGATTGTCAGCTTGTCTGGCCATTGGCCCTGTGCCTGGGTGTCCCCAGCCTACCTGTGACACTGGGACTGGCCCCTGGGGTGGCTAAGAAGTTGGACCCCTATGAGCCTGGTTCCCGCACAGAGGAGGATGAAGTGGCCATTTCACCTCGAAAAGGCTACAGCTGCGTCTATAGTCACAGCGAGGTGTTTGCCACCCATACAGGGGCCTGAGGGCCACGTCAGCGTGTGTCCTAGTCCCTTCGGGGTGCTGTAACAGAACAGCACAGATGGGGTGGCTTAGAAACAACCGACAGTCATTTGTCACAGTTCTGGAGGCTGGAAGTCCAAGTTCAAGGGGCTGGCAGGGCTGCTGTCTGGCGAGGGCCGGCTTCCTGGGGCACGGGCAGCCGTCTTTTCCCTGTGTCCCTACATGGCAGAGGGGCGAGTGAGCCCTCCGGGGTCTCTTCTGTAAGGGCATTAATGCCGCTCACGAGGGCCCCACCCTCATGACCCCATCAGCTCCCAAAGGCCCCGCCTCCTTATCCCATCCCCTTAGGGGTTAGGTTTCAACCTATGGATTTGGGGACACAAACATTCAGTCTGTGGTAGCGTGTGAGCCACCACATGTGTATTTCTGGCCTCGTGGGGCTGTGGCCCTTCGAAGTGCCTGTCTGTGCTCATGACTTGTCACCACTGAGTCTGGATATCGATGCTTCTGTGCTCCCATGTGACACCCAGTAAGTGACTGCATCTGTGATCCTTTGGGTGTGTGATAGACTGGCCGTTGAGAGCAGCTGTGTCTGTGGCTGGGTATGTGCCCATCCAGCAGCTGACACCTGTTTCCTGTCTCTCTGTGTGTGTCACTGTCAGCGATGGTGTCTGAGAGTCATTACACACAAATGTGTGTCTGCTCTGGCACTTGTGTCTCTGTGTGAATTTTCATGGGTGTGACAGTGTAACATCCGTGTGTGTGTGTGCAGACACAGTGTCCCCACATATGCGGCTGTGTCTGACATTTGTCCCAGCCGGGAGTGTGCCCCTCTGTGCAGGATTTTTTTTTTTTTGTGGTGAGTAAGATTGGCCTTGAGCTAACATCTGTTGCCAATATTCCTCTATTTTTTTTTCTCCCCAAAGCCCCAGCACATAGGTGTATATCCTAGTTATATATCCTTCTAGTTCTTCTATGTGGGACGCCACCTCAGCATGGCCTGATAAGCAGTGCTAGATCCGCACCCAGGATGCGAACCGGTGAACCCCAGGCCACTGAAGCGGAACGCGCAAACTTAACCACTCAGCCACGGGGCTAGCCCCATCTCTGTGCAGGTTTTGTGTCCTTGTTGCCAGGCACGGGTCCAGCAGTGTCCCCTTGTCCCCTTCCCCCCAGGGAGCCATTCGTGCTGGCCAAGCTGCAGCCAGAGGAGGGCCTCTACCTCATCCACTGGAGCACCAGCCACCTCAACCGCCTCATCCTCACGGTGGCCCAGCGCGACCAGGTGGGCCTGGGGCGGGGGGGCCCTGGGCTGGGGCTGGGTGCGCTCCCTGCCTGGACCCCTGCTCAGCGCCCCCACCCCTGCCGCCCACCCCAGGCGCCCAGCGTGAAGGCCTTGCGCCTGCGCAAGTTCCCCATCGAGCTGCGGGCCGGGGCCTTCGAGCTGGAGGGCTGGGGCCGCACCTTCCCCAGCGTGCGCGAGCTGCGGGCCGCGCTGCACGGCTGCTCCCTGCAGGCCGGCGCCGACCACTTCGCTCTGCGCCGCTGCTGCCTCCCACGGCCAGGAGGTAGGGTGCCGGGGGCAGGGGGAGCCGCGGAGCCGGGTGGCGTCTCCCGGACGCCAGCCCTCGGTGACTTCGCTCCCGCCCCCAGAGATCTCCAACCTCATCATCATGCGGGGGCCTCGGGCCAGCCCCCGGCTGCTCAACCTCAGCCAGCTCAGCTTCTACCGCATCTGCCAGGACGACATCACCCAGGTGTGGACGGGCAGCGGTCCCTGGGGGCACCCGGCATGGCAGCCCTGAACCGTCCTCCTCTAGCTGTTCCGGGCTGTGTTCCCGCAGCTGTCGCACCTGGGCCAGGGCACAAGGACCAACGTGTACGAGGGCCTCTTGCGAGTGCAGGGCGGAGGCCCCGAGGAGGACAAGGCAGACGACGGGGACCCCCCCATGCCCGGCGGGGGTCGCGGGCAGGAGCTGCGAGTGGTCCTCAAGGTGCTAGACTCCAGTCACCATGACATCGCCCTGGTGAGTGAGCGCGGCCAGGGGACGGGCAGCGTGAGGGGTCAGGGTCTGCGGCCACCTGACCCGCCCCGTCCCCACAGGCCTTCTACGAGACGGCCAGCCTCATGAGCCAGGTCTCCCATGTGCACCTGGCCTTCGTGCACGGGCTCTGCGTGCACGGCTCCGAGAGTAAGTGGGCCCTGCCCGTAGCCCCCAGCCCCCCGTTTACAGGCCCACCCCTGCTGATACCCACTCCCTGGGCAGAACCCCGACCTCAACCTGGACCTCGAGCCCTGGCTGCACTGTGACCCTCCTCTGGACCCCGGATCCCTGGCTACACCCCACCCTCCACCTACACCCTCACTCCTGTGTCCCAAACTCCACCTAACCCAGCGCCCATCTATCCTTGACCCCATCGGCGCCGTGACCCCACGCAGACCCCTGCCCTGGTGGGCATCCCAATCCTCGGAGACCTCAGCCCCTGCTCGACCCCCCAGTCTACCCCCACTCTGCATGTACCTCCAAACTCCTTGTAAGGGCGACCCCAGCCAGCCCCCAGCCCCACTGCCCTCCACCCCCTGCGTCTCTCTCCTGCTTTGCCCCCAACACTGGCCTCCATGCCGACCCTGCCTACCTCCCACTCGACGGGCACCCTGACCCTGTGAGGTCCTAACGTCTCTCACGCCCCAGCCTCCAGCTCCAGCTTTCACTTGTCCACCCCGGTTCCCTGCCCCACCCTCACCTATGTCAATAACACGTCAGCCTCCATCATGGACCCAGATGCCACCATTCACCTCTGCCTCCCCCTCCCCTATGCTCCATCCTGCATTTCTCCTCTCCCCAAAGTCAGTCCCGAACCCCTCCCCGCACACCCCTGCCTGACACCTCCCCCCACAGTCCCAGCCCCTTCGTCCTGTGGCCCCCCAACCCTCGCCGTGCCCTGGAGGGTGGAGGCGGGTGGGCGGCCCCTGCAGTGGCTGGGCCTTTCCAGACATCATGGTGACGGAGCACGTGGAGCACGGGCCGCTGGACGTGTGGCTGCGGCGGGAGAGGGGCCACGTGCCCATGGCCTGGAAGGTGGCCGTGGCCCAGCAGCTGGCCGGCGCCCTCAGCTACCTGGTACGTGGCCTGCGGGCAGGGCCTGGGTCGGTGGGCAGGGCCAGGGTGGCCTCAGCATCGGGTGTCGAGGTCTCCACACATGCCCAATCCACACGTTGGCCCCGGGGGAGCTTTCTGTGAACCTCCTGTGCTCACACCCCCCTGGGGCTCCCATCGCCCCCAAGAGCTCCTCGCTCCTCGTCCTGGTGTCCCAGGTCCTGTGGGGCCTGGCCTCAGCTGCCTCTGTCACTCTCTCTTGCCATTCATTCCCCACCCCTTCTGGTCCAGTCTCCCCCTGCATGCCAGGCTCTGTCTTAGGCCCAGGGGACACAACAGAGAAAAACAGGCAGGAGTCTCTGTCCTCGGGGAGCTGGCATTTCAGTTGGGAGGGACAAACGAGAAAGAATAATTAAGTACATTACGTAATATGTTAGAAAGAAGTAAGAGCTATGGGGAAAACGGGGTGGAGATGAGTTGCTACAGTTTGGGGATGAGATGAGTTTTGAATAGATGGTTGGGGGAGGGCCTCACTAAAGTGACCTGGAGATGAGGGAGGGAGCCGGGAGGGCATCTGGTGGAAGCACATTCCGGGCAGAGGGAACAGCCAGTGCAAAGGCCCTGGGGAAGGAGCATGCGTGCCCTGGGTTTCAGGACAGCCTTGGAGTCCTCTGGCTTTCTGTCCCTAGCCACTAGCTCTGGGAGAACAGGAAGGACCCACCGGGCACCCAGTGCTCCGTGGTCACGTCAGTGTATTGGGATCTTCATATGACCATGATCGGCTTTTGCACTTGGGCTGTCTCTGTGGGGACCACATGGGATGGGGTGGGGGCGGGGTCTGCAGCCCCCATTGGCCATGCCCCCTTTCCACCCCCCTCCCCCCAGGAAGACAAGAGCCTGGTTCACGGTAACGTGTGTGGCCGGAACATCTTGCTGGCCCGGCTGGGGCTGGCGGAGGGCACCAGCCCCTTCATCAAGCTGAGCGACCCCGGCGTGGGCCTGGGCGCCCTCTCCAGGGAGGGTGAGGACCCCGGCGGGGCTGGGCATGGGACGGGCTTCCCCGACTCCCTTCACCCTCGGTGACCTCTGACCCTGGCCCGCAGAGCGGGTGGAGCGGATCCCCTGGATGGCCCCCGAGTGCCTATCGGGTGGGGCCAATAGCCTAAGCACAGCAGCTGACAAATGGGGCTTTGGTGCCACCCTCCTGGAGATCTGCTTCGACGGGGAGGCCCCCCTGCAGGCCCGCAGCCCCTTCGAGGTATGTTCAGGACACCCCTGGGCCCTTCCCAACTGCAAGGAGTCCAGGCTGGCCTCCCCTCTGGCCATGTGGCCCCACAGATGTCGCCTCATCTCTCTGGGGCTCCATCAGGTCATCTGTCAATTGGGGTTAACTGTAGTCCTGGCCTCCTAAGGGTGTGTGGCACACAGCGAATAAGTGACAGGCTTCCCTTTTGGGCAGAATGAACAGGGTGGGGGTAGGGGGTCCCAGAGGACACCCTTGACCCAGCTGAGAGGTCAGGCAAGGCTTCCCAGAAGAGGCTGTAATCCAAGGGCAGAAATAACCACAAGTGACCCAGGTTGGGAAGGGCAGCCTGGGCAGAGGGCACAGCCTGTGCAAAGGCCCAGAGGCTTGAGTGCAGGCAGGGAGCTGCAGTCTGCAGGAGCTTCTCGGGAGTAGAGTTGGGTGGAAGCCAGGGCGGGAAGGGCCAAGCATGAGATGCTACAGCACAGCAGAATCTGCCAGACTGGGCTTCAGGTCCTGGCTCTGTGGTGGCGGGCAAGTCTGCTTCCCTTTGCTGGACTCAGTTGCATCATCTGTGAAATGGGAATGGCAAGAGCCAGGATCTGGCTGGTCCCGCCCTGTTCTGGGGGCTTGGCTGCCTCTTGGGGGAGGGGGCTGGGGGATGCACTGACTCAGGTCCCCTCCCTCACAGAAAGAGCACTTCTACCACATGCAACACCGGCTGCCTGAGCCCTCCTGCCCGGAGCTGGCCGTGCTCACCAGCCAGTGCCTGACCTACGAGCCAGCGCAGCGGCCGTCCTTCCGCACCGTCCTGCGTGATCTCACTCGGCTGCAACCCCAAAGTGAGCCCCCCTCAGTGCTGGGGCTCTGGGGGGCGGGGAGGGGCTGGGATCCCTGCTGACACAGGCACATGCACCCAAGGTCTCTGTACGGTGGCCCAGGGTGTGGGCTGCGCATGGCCGGAGCTCTTAGTGTTTTGCTCCGGGAGAGCCACAAATCCTTTGGAAGAATTCAACCTCAGCACTTTTTTTGTTTTTGCTATTTTTTTTCTCTCGATGATAAGTTTGTACCCCTGACCCAATCTCGGAACATCCCAGGTGTCAGTCTGGATGCAGCCGACTCTGCATTTTGCACAAGAAGTGGAATTTTCCAGCTGTGGCCAAAAAGCTTTCCTTATCTCTGGGATTGCATGCTGGGGGAGCAGTCGCCCGCTTTCTGGACCCCCAAGTGTGGGTCTGCAGGGGCCTGGCATCACCCACTGTGGCTCTTCCAGATCTTGTTGACGTCTTGGCTGTGAACCTGGACTCGCTGGCGTCTGACCCCACTGTTTTCCACAAGCGCTATTTGAAAAAGATCCGGGATCTGGGCGAGGTGGGGGCGGGGCCTGGGAGCCGGGGGCGGGGCCTGGGCGGTTAGAAGGAAACCCTGGTGGGGGAAAGAGTTTGGATCTTAAGGAAAGTCCTGTCTAAGGGTGGTTCTCGGGACAGGTGGATGGGGATTGACCTTGAAGACCCTCAGCTGCAAGGGAGGCCCTGAGGAATTTAAAGGGGCCCCCAAAGAGACCCACCAACCTGGAGTAGGTGGGGCCTAGGATTTTCCAAACAGACCTGCCTGGAGGCGGGGTCTGGGGAACCTGGGGCGGGGCGTGGGGAGCTGTGGGCGGGGCTGACCCTCCGCGCTCCGGCCAGGGTCACTTCGGCAAGGTCAGCCTGTACTGCTACGACCCGACCAACGACGGCACTGGAGAGATGGTGGCCGTGAAGGCCCTCAAGGCCGACTGCGGCCCCCAGCTCCGCACCGGCTGGCGGCGGGAGATCGACATCCTGCGTACGCTCTACCACGAGCACATCGTCAAGTACAAGGGCTGCTGCGAGGACCAAGGTGGGCGGGGCTAGAGGCGCGGTGGGCGGGGATAGGGCGTGGGTGTGGCTTGGCGGGCGGTGCCAGCAGGGCCTGGCCAATGAGAGCCTCTCAGTCCCAGGCTGCGGGCGCCAGCTGGGCGGGGCCGGGCTGCGTCCTCACGGTTGAGGGGGCGCTCTGCTGGGGCCGGTATGGGCAGGAGCTACCGTCAGCGCCGTCTCCTGGGGACAGGGTTCAGGATGGGTCCATTCTACCTGAGGACTGGGCCTAGTGTGGGCGAGTCTTAGCCTTCCCTCCCCACCTTGGGGTGGGGGGACGGCAGGACTCAGGGTGGGCGGCCTCCGGTCCCTGCCTCTACCGCCCGCACCGGCCGCCCCTCTCCCGCATCAGGCGAGAAGTCGGTGCAGCTCGTCATGGAGTACATGCCCTTGGGCAGCCTCCGAGACTACCTGCCACGGCACAACGTCGGGCTGGGCCAGCTGCTGCTCTTCGCCCAGCAGATCTGCGAGGTGGGCCGGCCTTCCCCTGCTCCCAGGACCTGCCCCCTCTTTGGCCTGGCCTGAGCTGTCCTATCCCCCTGCTCGCCCTGCCCTGCCTGGGCCGACTCTCCACCATCCTAGCCCAGTCAGCGGATCACCTGGCCACACCCCTGCCGGCCCTTCCCCCAACCCGCTTGGTATCTACTTTCTGGGACGCCCTTCGCTCACTTGGCCACGCCCAGCAGCCCAGTCCCACCCCATTCGCTCAGCCATGCCTAGGAGCGCCTGTTGTGGCCCCGCCCCCGCTATCTGACGCTGCTCCCATAGGCTTGGGCCTCACCTGACATGCTGCCCACTCGCTCCTGGTCCCCGCAAGCCTGACCTGACTGTCCCCCAGCCACCCTGGTCACAGCTCCTCAGGCTCTGCCCTGTCCCACTGATCCTGACTCGCCCCGCCCCCAGGGCATGGCCTACCTGCACGCGCAGCACTACGTGCACCGAGACCTGGCCGCGCGCAACGTGCTGCTGGACCATGACAAGCTGGTCAAGATCGGGGACTTTGGCTTAGCCAAGGCCGTACCCGAAGGCCACGAGTACTACCGCGTGCGAGAGGATGGGGACAGCCCGGTGTTCTGGTGACCAGGCGGGACACAGCTGGAGGGGGGTGCCAGGCTCACCTAGAGCGGGCAGGGTGGAGGAGACAGATGTTGGGGTCTCAGATGATAGGGCTTGGGCCCACTGAAACCGCCCCCTTTCTAAGGGTGGGGCCCTAACTGGGGCCAGAAGGGTCCTTAAGCCCCAGGTCAGGACTCCAGACTGGTCTGGCCCCGCGACCTGAGCGCCCCCTCCTGCAGGTATGCCCTGGAGTGCCTGAAGGAGTCTAAGTTCTACTATGCGTCCGACGTCTGGTCCTTTGGGGTCACCATGTATGAGCTGCTGACTTACTGTGACTCCAGCCAGAGCCCGCCCTCGGTGAGAGCCGGGCCCGCACCCCCACCCCATCCTACAGGAGATAGAAAGGCAGGCATCTAATTTCCAGCTCCCCCACCTCAGCAAGCGCTTGCCCCACCTCAGCCTCGCCATCCCAGTCTGTAAAATGGGCCCCTTACACTGCAGGTGTCTTTGATTGTGACAGAAGCCCCGCTCAAATAGGAACAGCTCAGTCCACGATGTGCAGACTCCATGGGAGACTGGCAGCGGGGCTGGATCTGGACCCTCAGATGTCATCAGGAATCCCATTTTCTCCGTCTGTCGGCTCCGCTATTCTCTGTGGTCGCATCTCAGACAGGACCACTCTCTGTTGCAACAGCGGCCCCCCAGCCGAGGGGCTCCCGAGTCCTTTTCTTTCCGGCATAATACAGAACGCTCTCTGATTGGCCGAGCTTGGTTCACGTGTCCACCACGGAGCCAATCACTGTGTAGCACCGCCCCAAAATTATTGGCTAAACCTGGGCGGGGCCAGGAGGCAAGAATATGTTACAGTTTATTCCCAAAGCCAATCAGAGTACCTTTTATAGAAGAAAAAAAACCCAAAACGATTGTAGCCAGGCAAAAACAACTTACTGGGAGGCTTAATGACAGCAAACACCTGATTCACACTTGCTCTATGAATATTAGTTTATCTAACTTCTGACTTTCGCGATAACCCAAGTGGTGGCGTCACCCCGTGTTACAGATGAGAAGACTAAGGCCCAGAGAGGTGGTCATAAGTCCAAAGTCAGACAGCTAAGTGTCAAGTTCCAAGCTCCTGGCCGCTCCCCAGGCAGCCCTGTCTCTTGACGAGAGCTTGTCGTTTCTTCTGTAGAAATTCATCGAGCTCATAGGCCTCACCCAGGGGCAGATGACCGTGCTGCGGCTCACGGAGCTGCTGGAACGAGGGGAGAGGCTGCCGCGGCCCGAGAAGTGTCCCTGTGAGGTGAGGCCGCCCGCTTTCCCCTGCCCCCACCCTGGGACCAAGAGAGAGCAGCCGGTCAAAGCCCCAGTCTTTCCTTCCACAGATCTATCTCCTTATGAAGAACTGCTGGGAGGCAGAGGCCTCCTTCCGCCCGACCTTCCAGAACCTCATACCCATCCTCAAAACGGTGCACGAGAAATACCAAGGCCAGGCGCCCTCGGTGTTCAGCGTGTGCTGAGGCCCGCCCACAGCCCCATGGGGGAATCGGAGCAGGCAGGACCCCCAGAGAGGGCCTCCTGCTCCAGCCCCCCATCCCCCCCACCCCCAGAGGGAGAGGTCAGCCTCCCCGGCTCCCTGTGCCTCACTAGTGCCCCAGACCCACCTCCGTGAACGGACTGTCCTCATCCCTTCCGGCTGCTGTGACAGTACCGTAGACTGGGGGCTTAGAAACAACGAATTTATTTCTCACAGCTCTGGAGGCTGCGAAGTCCAAGATCAGGGTGCCAACATGGATGCATTTTGATAAAGGCTTTTTCCTTGTTCATAGCTGGACCCTCTGGCTGTGTCTTCACAAGGTGGAAGGGGGCAAGGGATCTTTCTGGAGCCTCTTTTATAAGCGCACTAATCCCATTCATGAGGGCTCCCCCTTCCTGATAAGCAGCTTCCGAAGGCTCACCTCATACCATCGTGTCCGGCATTAGAATTTCAAGATGTGATTTTTTTTTTTTTTGCTGAGGAAGATTGACTCTGAGCTAATATCTGTTGCCAATCTTCCCCTTTTTGCTTGAGGAAGATTATCGCTGAGCTAACATCTCTGCCAGTCTTCCTCTATTTTGTATGTGGGTCACCACCACAGCATGGCTTGACGAGTGGTATGTAGGTCTGCACCCAGGATCCAAACCCGTGAACCCCAGACTGCCAGAGCAGAACACATGAACTTAACTACTGTGCCACCTGATTTTTTTTAATGAGGTCACATTGATTTATAATATTATATACATTTCGGATATCCATCACTCTATTTTGACTTCTGTATAGACTGCATCATGCTCACCACCTAAAGTCTAGTTGCCATCTGTCACCGTACACGCGTGCCCCTCTATCCCTTTCACCCTCCCCTCCCCTCAATGTATGAATTTTGAGGGGACGCACCTTCCATAATCATGAGCCTGATGTAGAACCCTAAGGGGCCAGGATGACCAGGGAGCTAACCAGGCCCTTGAATCCGATCTTTCTGCCTTCCGCGGCCCCCTCCCTCAGGGGTCACCATTTCCAATAGCTGGTGATGAACTCACACAGTCCTGCGCTGCATATCAACATCCGGTCAACAGGCCACATATATGACTGCGGTCCCGTAAGATGTGTCCCATAGAGCCTAGGTGTGTAGTGGGCTGTACCTGCTAGGTTGGTGTAAGGACACACTATGACATTCGCACAATGACGGCATCACCTGACAACACGTTTCTCACAGTCGTTAAGTGACCTCTGACTGTGTTACCTCCTTAAATTGTTGCTCACCTCAAAATCACCAGCTGGCAGTTAGACCAGTACCTAGAACACAGAAGGTGCTCAATAACTAGCTAAATCTACCAACAAAGGATTGGGGGCCCCACGTGCCATTTAGATAAAACTGCCAATTTCACCCTTTCCTCCCTGTGTGACCTCAGGCAAGTGGCTGCCCCTCTCTGGGCGTCTGTGTCAAATGCTTAGCAGAGTCATGCAAACAAGTACTTAATAAACATTTGATATTATTGTTAACTTGGTGTTTGCCAGTGTTTCTCCTTAACAGGTGTGCTGGAGACGGATGATGTGTCAGCCACGTTATGAAAGGCAGTTAAATAATGTCCCTTTTCATAGGATTTCTCAGGACCTTGCGCATTGCCAACTCTCCTGACCAGAGACTTCCACACGATTCTAGTGACATTTGCTTTTTGTAACAGTTTTCAAAATTAAAAATTCCTCATCATTATAAATCTTTTTTTGGACAAGTAATCTTGACCTAGGCAATGAAAGTCTCCCTCTGTCCGTCAGCCACCACTGTCGCCCCCCCCCCCGGAGGCAACTAATGTCATCTGCTTTCCTGTTTTGGTTTCTAGAGACATTTTATCCAAATGCAAGGAAGTCTGTGCATATATTATGCTTTCCTGTCTTTTGCAAAAATAGTAGCATGAACTCCTATGCAGAGCTCCGGTCTGTATCCTTGTGGTTTATTTTTTCTACATAATAGGCCTTGGAGATGGTCCCGTGGCTCCAGGCGTGCAGAGTTTTCTTGTTCTGTTTCATGGTGATGCTGAAATGTTGTCTGCCTCCATTCCCTCCTGGGGTTCATCGGGTCGTTTCTAACCCTCCCCTGTGCCCAGGATGCTGCCACAGTGAGTGAGCATGTGCGCACAGCATTTGCCCCGCATTCAAGGGCATCTCTAGGACACATTCTCAGTGGGAATAGCTGCTTGCAGGATCTCGCCCAGAAACCGGGAAAAGGTGTTGCCACTAGAATTTTTTTTTTTCTTTTGAGGAAGATTAGCCCTGCGCTAACATTTGCCTCCAATCCTCCTGTTTTCGCTGAGGAAGACTGGCCCTGAGCTAACATCCGTGCCCATCTTCCTCTACTTTCTATGTGGGACGCCTACCACAGCATGGCTTGCCAAGCGGTGCCATGTCCACACCTGGGATCCGAACCGGTGAACCCCAGGCTGCCGAAGCGGACCGTGCGCACTTAACCACTGCACCACTGGGCCGGCCCCAGATTTTACATTTTATCTGTAAAAACTTCCATCTGTGTCTCGAAAAGATGTAACTGCAAACCATGGCAACAATCTTGTGACCACACCCAGAAAGTTTAAGGATGATTCCTCAAAATCATCGCGTAGCCTCAGTGTTTCCATTTCCCCAATTGTCTCTGAAATATTCGGTGTCTGTCTACAGTTTGTTCAAAGGAAAGTCCAGACAAGGTCCAGGCACTGGATTTGGTGGAGGGCGGATCCCTTTAAGTTCTGGGTTCCTCTCTGTGTTTCCTCCTTGCAACATACTGGTTGAAGAAACCGGGTTGTTTGTCCTGGAGGCTTTGCCAGTGCGGTGTCATCCTTGCGGCCGAGTTTGATGCATTCCTCTGTCCTCACCGTGACTGACCAGTGGTCAGACCCAGTTTCCTTTTTTGGCAAGACTCACAGAGGGCCTTGTGCCCTCTCTACATGCCCATCTTCCTCTACTTTATATGTGGGTCACTGCCACCACATGGCTGATGAGTGGTGTAGGTCCATGCCGGGGATCAAAACCTGTGAACCTGTGAACTGGGGAACCCAGGCTGCTCAGCAGTGGGCAGTGAATTTAACAACTACACCACGGGCCTGCCCCTATTTCCAAATACTTTCAATCGGGGTTTGAGTTGCTCTCTCAGTACCGTGTGGGAAATGGATTGGGGGCCAGGGCAGCAGAGGAGGGACCTGAGTGGAGAGGGGAGCTGCTCCAGTGAGAGAGGACGGGGCGTAGCTTCAGGGATGGGGAGACTGGATGAATGCCAGGTGTCATCAAGGCCCTCAAAAATGTCCCTCTCCGGAGCTCAGATCAGAGGCACCAGAGGAGGGTCAGAGGGCAGAGAGATGGAGTCGATGGAGGTGGGAAGGCCCATTCGACCCCAAGTCCCTTCTCTTGGGGTGAAAAGACCAGCTGCCCAGAGGGGAGGGTCAGGGAGCATGATGTCAGGGGTCAGGGCCAGTTACAAGTAGCATCCTTGACGAATGGTGGTTCAGGATTCAGCTGTCCCCTTGCCTCAGCACCACGCACAGGCAATGGGGGGGTCCCTCAAGATCTTCAAAGGTGAAGGGCCTAAAGGAGCCACCCAGGTGGTCAACACAGAGCCGGGCACCCAATAAATGTGGGCTCTGTTCATTTTCATAGCTTCCCTCATCATCATCCCCAGATCTCTTCATTGTCCCCCAGGAAATGCTGAGAGCTCACACTAACCTGTTGAGACCCTGCCTAGAAGTCCCTTCATCTCCCCTTGAAACACTGCCTTGAAATCCAACCTTATCACCTCAAGGGCAGCGCCTGGAGGTCCGCCATAAGTTCAGTGGAAGGAGGTGCCTCCGCTGCTGTCCTAGGCGTCGTAAGTTCTCAGAATAAAGGAAGCAGAGCTGCTCCACTTCCTGCGATTTCATTTGGGGCCAGTGGTGTAACAGGTCCACCCTCTCTGAGAGTCACCAGTGCCCTCCTCCTCCTGGGGCCCCACCTGGGCCCCCCACGGTGGCCCCCCGGGGTCACAGAGCATCCTCCCCACCCCTCCCCAGGCGTGCAGCCCCTGGACTTCTGCAATCTTAACTGCTGTGACTGCACTTCCGTTCCCGGGCCAGCCCCACCTGCTCCTCCCTGCCTGCGCCTCATTAAGACATCCTCCTCCCGAAGGTTGGCCACCATGATGCCCTCCGGGCCGCTGCCCGGGGTCTGCTGGACCTCACTCCTCTCCCTGCTTCTCATCTGCTGTCTGCGGCCCCCAGGTGAGGCAAGTCAAGCTGGGAGGGCTGGCGTTGGGTGGGGGGTGGTCAGTGGAGAGTGAGAGCAGAGAAAGCCGCCGAGCTCTCCACATCCTGCCGTGCCTGACTGCGCAGCGAGCACATCCTGAGACTCAGATCTTCCGGGGGCTCACCAGGGTCCTCGAGAGAAAGTTGTGCTTCCTTAACTCAGCCTTCAGGGCTCCCCAAGGCGTGGTCCCTCCGTGTAACTTGTTCCCTGTCCCCAACACACACACACGCGTGCACACACATACACACTCTCCCAGCTCCATGTAGCCCCTCCACCTCTGCCTATGCTCTTCCTTCTGCCAAGACCACTCTTCCCCTTCACTTGGCTAACTCCTACTTATCCTTCAAAACTGGCCACAGACGTCCCCTCCTCCCAGAAGCCTTCCCTGACTCACTTCTTCCTGTATCTGGATCGGGGTCTCCCCTGGCCACCTTCTGATGTCTCCCCACTTGCTGATCCGTCACCTGTCTTCCCCACTAGCCTGAAACAGCCTAAAGGCGGGGACCCTTAGGCCTCGGCAAGAGGACGGGCTGAATGGTGGGACCTGCGGATGGGTGGGCTGGGGGCACCAGAGCAATCAGCACAGCTTCTGGCTCTCCCCACAGGTGCCCAGGGGCAGTTCTCGCTGCGATTGGAGCCCCAGGACCTAGTGGTGCCTGAAGGAGGGTCCATCTCGGTAAACTGCAGCACAGACTGTCCCGACGCTCAGCACGTCACTCTGGAGACATCCCTCCCCAAGGAGCCATTGAGCAGTGGCTTGGGCTGGGCAGCCTTCCGGCTCAGCAATGTGACTCATGATGACAGAGAGGTCCTCTGCTCCAGCTTCTGCAATGGCTTGCAGATAGCAGGCTCTTTTGGCATCACAGTGTACCGTGAGTGGATGTGGTCGGAGGTGGGGACCAGCCTCAGGCAGTGGGCGGGGGGGTAGATGGCCAGCGTGCAGGCGAGCGGGGCCTGGAGTCTGCAGGAAGGGACCAGGGCTCTCACCCAGAGCTTGGACCTGGATGTGTGTGTGACAGAGACAGAGACAGACAGAGAGCTGCCTCTCAACTGTATGCCAGGGCAGCAGCTGTGCAGTCAATTCATCGGGGTCCCAGCAAGCATTTTGAAAATGACAGTCACGTGTTTTATTTATGCCTTTTATTTTTACGGCAGGGAATCAATTCATGTGGTTCCAAAATCAAAAAGTACAAAAAGCTGTGAATGTCGGATCTCTATTCATCTAGCGGGGCTGCCAGTGGCCGCTGGCTTACGAGTTGACTCATTCAGTCCTTACCCAGGCCCTGGGGCGGGGACGTCCACTTGTGAGCCTCATCACACAGATATGGAGACCGAGGCTCAGGGTAAAGGCCGTGCCAGCCTTCACAGCCCCTGAGCAGAGAAGCTGGCAGTGTGGCTCCAAAGTCCCTGCCACTAACAGGCGATGTCTTCCTCTCCAGACTGTGTCCCCCCTTACTGGTTTCTTATGGACCCTTCCAGACTGTCTCTGACTTTAAAAGAATACAATAGTTTTCAGAGATAAGTGTAGCGTGTGTGTATAATTGTGTGGGCTCCTGTGTATGCGCCGGAGTCGGTATTTGTGCTTGTGTGCCTCTGTGTGTCCGTGAGTGTATGTATCTATGTGTCACTATCTGTGTCTATTTGAGTGTACTTGTGTGTCTGTATATGCTAGTGTCTGTATGTTTGTGCCTGTCTTTGTGTGTACCTGTTTGTGAATGCCTGTGAACGTATGTGTATGTCTGTGTCAGTATCTGTGAGTGTGTGTCTGTGTCAATATCTGTGTCTGCGTGTGAGCATATGTGGATATGTGTCAGTATCTGTGTGTGTCTGTGTCAATAACTGTGTCTGTGTGTGAGCATCTGTGGATCCTGTCAGTGTGTGTTTGTGTCTGTCAGTATCTGTGTCTGTGTGTCTGTCCGTACGCGTCTATGTATACATCTTTGTATCCGTGTGTATTTCGGTGTAATGCATACACCTGTCTGTGCGTATCTGCATGTCTGTGTGTGTGTGAGTCCCTGTCTCTGTGTGTCTGAGAGGCCTCCGTTGGTGTTCTGTGGGAGCCTGTTGGTCCTGGCTCGTGAGAGCCCACTGTGCTCATCTCTTCCCAACTCCTAGTCCCACGTGGCCTGAAATCAGTCAGTGGGAGTATTTACAGGGGACAAGTGGGCGGATGCTCCATGTCTGGGCTGCCCCGCTCCACTCCAGGAGCCCAGGCATTATGAACACACCACTAGCCCTGACCAGTGGTACCCGGGCTAAGACGGAAGCCTCCTTGTTAAATATCCAAAAATTGTGAATAGTAAGATGTTAAATATTTTTCATAGCAGCCAGACCATGGGCTCTGTGACAGCTTGAGACCAGGCTTGAGTTGTCGAGGGAGAGTAAGATGCTGCATTTAAGGAGGCCCAGGCTTGGTACGTGTGCCTGCGAGGGCCCCTGCGGCTGAGAGAGGACCCAGCCTGGGGTGTCAAGTCCCCTGTGACTGCGCCAGAGCACCCTGAGACGCTGTGACTGCGCCAGAGCACCCTGAGACGCTGTCCCAGGCGGCTCCACCGTGAGAGCCCTGAGCGCCTGAGACTTACTGGGGAGGGCTGGACCAAGTTCTGGGAGAGGCCAAGGCCAGAGTTGAGGCCAGAAGCTGGGAAGAGGCCCAGGGGAGTCCCTAGACGTGACATCAAGGAGGCAGGTGGACACACAGGTCTGGAGTTTGGGAGACCCACATTTTAACCCTAGTTCTGCGCTTTCCTGGCTGTGCATCCTTGGGCAAGCCACCTCCCCTCTCTGGGCCTCAGTTTCTTCATCTGTAAAAGGGAAGGATGACAGAGGAGATTTTACTGGGTGGCTGTGTGAATGAAGGTGGATGACATTGGAAAGTCTAAGAAAAGCTCTCAATAAACAGGAATTTTTATGATTACTATTAACCTCCTAAGTAGTCATAAACATTAGTCCTCTTCCTTCCTTGTTTCCCATAACTATGAGGTCCTTGGGAACAGGACATCTGACTTTTCTTTTAGTGCCTGGCAAGGTATCTGACAAAACAGGAAATCATAATCACGATGCTAATGGCAACAGCAGACACTTACACTGGTTTATTAATTCAAAGTTAACAGCTCTGCGCTGGGCCACCCTAGGCTCCTCTACACTCCCAAGGCAAGTGCTGCAGGGCTGGCTGCTAAGGGCTATTCTCCACTTCCCCAGGGTTCCCCGATCTCGTGGAGCTGGAACCCCTGCCCTCCTGGCAGCCCGTGGGCCAGAACCTCACCCTGCGCTGCCAGATGGCAGGCGGGGCGCCCCGCGACAACCTCACCGTCGTGCTGCTCCGCGGGGAGGAGGAGCTGAGCCGGCAGCCGGCGGTCGGAGAGCCAGCCCTGGTCAACCACACGGTGGAGGCCCGCAGAGAGGACCACGGCGCCAACTTCTCGTGCCGCGCGGAGCTGGACCTACGGTCCCGAGGGCTGGGACTGTTCCAGAACAGCTCGGCCCCCAGGCAGCTGCGAACCTACGGTGAGGGAAGGGACTGCAAACGGTGGGTGATGAGCTGAGCCGGAGCCCACGTGCCCTGGCCGCGCGGTTCCCGAGAATAGGGTGGCCTGGCCCTCAAGGCTTCTGGGAAAACATGCCCTTGGCCACCGGGTGAGGCGACCTCAGACGGGAGGTCTGCAGCCGCGGCAACTTCCGAGAAGGCTGTGAGGGTGTGTCCCGGGAAGGTGACTCAGGCCACAAGGTAGGCTGGGAAAGAAGGACCCTGGTTGGAGGACAGCGTCACTACGGCTGTGTGAGACGTCCTCCTGCTCAGGCCCACCCTTCTTTCCAGCCTTGCCCGTGGGGCCCCTGCACCTCGATGTTCCCCGGTTCTTAGAGGTGGAAAGGCTGTGGCTCGCGAACTGCACGCTGGACGGGCTGTTCCCCGCTTCCGAGGCAAAGATCCAACTGGCGCTGGGGGACCAGATGCTGAAGTCCCAGGTCGAGAGACACGGGGACAGGATCACGGCCACAGCCAATTCCACCGCGAGGGCGGAGCAGAACGGCACCCAGGAGATCGTCTGCAAAGTGACCCTAGGGGACGAGAGCCGGGAGACCCGAAGGAACTTGACCATCTATAGTAAGAGGGGGCGGGGCGCCAGTGGCCCGAGGGGCGGGGCCTTAGCCACAGAGTGGGAGGAGCTGCGGTGTGGGCGGGGCCTAGGTAACCAGGGAAGTACTATAGCCTGAGCGTCCCCAAATGGGCCGGGGCACAGACAGAATACCCGAAAGGCGGGGCCTCGATTCCCCGAGGGGAAGGAGGCAGGTGGAGGGCGGGGACTGACCGATGGGAGGTGCATGGTCAGCTGAGTCCTGGGCAATGCTCCCCCTTTAGGCTTCCAGGGGCCCATCCTGACCCTGAGCGCGCCCAGCGTCGCCGAGGGGACCATAGTGACTGTGACTTGCACGGCTGGAGCCCGAGTCCAGGTCACGCTGGACGGAGTTCCAGCCGAGGCCCCGGGGCAGCCCGTCCAGCTTCAGCTAAACGCCACGGAGAGGGACGACAGGCGCAGCTTCATCTGCAACGCCACCCTCAAGGTCGACGGGGGGATCTTGTACAGGAATGAGAGTGTCCAGCTGCGTGTCCTGTGTGAGTAGTAATCCCTTGCTCCCCCGATTTGGGAAAACTTGACTCTCCCTTGCCCCATGGTGCCTCCAGTGTGCTGGGTGTGTCTGACCATTTGGTGGTTCCACAGACGGTGCCAAGATTGACCGAGCCAAATGTCCCCAGAACTTCACGTGGGAAGAAATGACCACCCACGTCCTTGAGTGCCAGGCCTGGGGCAACCCGGACCCGGAGCTACAGTGTGTGAAGCAAGCATCGAAGGTCAAGGTGCTTGCCGGAACCCCATTCGTCGTCAGATTAAAACACCATGGTACCTACATGTGCCACGCGAACAACTCACACGGGAAGGACACTGTGACCGTGGTGGTGAACGTTCAAGGTGAGCCGAGGCGAGGCTGGGGGTGTAGAGCGGCAAGCCCAGGAGGGGCCGGGGCGCGCGGAGTTACTCCTCGCTTCTCTGCACAGCTCGGAACCCCGCCGTCGTCCCCGTGCTGGTGGTGTTAGCGATCCTTGGCCTGATCACTGTCTCAGCGGCCTTACTGTATGTCTTCGTGTTGAAGAAACACTCCGTGAGTGACATCTACTATGTGAATCGGGGGAGCACCACCTGCTTGCCCCTCAGGTCTAGGCCGGCTGACCAAAGACTGGGGGAGGAGTCGTCCTGAGCCTCGGGCCGCCGGGATACTGGACAAAGGGGATGGGGGTTTGGCTGTGTCTCCGGGTTTCGTACCAATAAAGCCTTCAAAATCCGGGGTCCGTGGCTTCATTACACCTGCGCCGAGGTGCTTCCTGCAGCGCTGCGCGTCCACTGAGTGACATCTCGGCAGCGGAAAGGGGCAGAGCTTGTGGCGCCCAGACGCGCCTTGAACCCTGAGAGGCGGGCTGGGTCTTAGCCAATGGGCTGAGGGAGTAGTGAAGGAGGCGGGGCTTCTCCCGGCCAATCGGCGGACGCGCCCTCGTTGCCGCTCTATGCCGCTCCGCCCCGGCTCGCTGGTCCCAGAAGGCGCCGGGTTTCCCAAGATGGCGGCCGACGTGTCCGTTACTCACCGGCCCCCGCTGAGCCCGGAGGCTGGGGCCGAGGTGGAAGCCGATGATGCCGCGGAGCGCCGGGCGCCCGAAGAAGAACTGCCGCCGCTAGATCCAGAGGAGATCCGGAAACGCCTGGAACACACCGAGCGCCAGTTCCGTAACCGCCGCAAGATACTGATCCGGGGCCTCCCGGGGGACGTGACCAACCAGGTATGAGGGGGGGGCGGTGTGGGAGCGTGGCGGGAAATACCACCGTGCGCGTGCGCGGGGGGACCCGGGCGACACCAACGCTGGCGTGCGCGGGGGGCGTCAGCGGGCGAGTCCAAGCGGGGGATCTACGCGGGGTCGGGAGAGACCAAGAGCGGGATTTGGGGGGTCAGTGATGGAGGGAGAAACCAACTTTGGACTGAGGGAGGACGTTGCTAGGGGCGACCACAGGCTTGGACGAGACCAAGTGATTGAAGGGGGCGGGGAGTGGAGGGGGCGGGCAGCTTTGGCCGTATTGGGGTACTGTGAATGGGCAGCCACTTTGGGACCGGGGGGAATGGGGACGCCGGTGGCTCCCTGCTCTGATTGTGTGTCTCCCCACCTCCTCTACTACTGGATGGCGGGATCTCATATCCAGAAGTTTCGGGGTTGGCTAGAGTATGCCTTTGTGTGGCACGCGTTTATTAACTCCTCTGCGAGAGAGATCCGGAAGTTGTAGCCGCTCCTGGGGTCTTTCTTCCCCGAAATTAGTTTGGAAAAACCGGATGTTCTGCCCCCAGGCCGCAGACCTGCAGGAAAGGGGGGCCATTGTTCTGTGGTGCCCCCCTTGGTTGATCTTCTGGCCGGGGGTGCCCTTCTCTTGGGACCTACATGGGACAGGCTTCCCGGTGCTCTTTGTACCCAGAGAGATTGCCTCTGCCCCACCCTGCGCCAGTGGAATGGCTTCTTGCTCCCTGCTGCTGAGATTTCCCTGCTCTCTGGCCCACCAGCACATCTCCCACTGGCTCTCCTGCCCATGGGTGGTACATGACTGGTGCAGTGTTCGGAGGGGCGTGACTTGGGGACAGACCTTGGACAGTGCCACTAGGCATGGTCTGGTTTGTTCCTTGAGCTGGCCCTCCTCCTGGTGCCCACCATCTCTCAGCTGGGCACACGCTGTGTCTCCAGCTCTGTGCACAGAGTGGCTGGCACAAGGAGGCCCCCCCACCTCCCCAAAGCTGGCTTGCAGAAGGCCGGCGCTGGCAGGAGGGGGGAATCAGCGGGCGCGTGAAACCACGCTGTGTGAGCTTCTTAAGTACACAGGGTCCCCAGTCAGGACCCCTGGGTGGCATTCTTGGAGCTGCCCTGACCAGCTGCACGACCTTTGACAGCTTCCTTCACCTCTCTGAGCCTCAGTTTCCTCCTCCATGAGTTTGTTAGTACCTAATTTGTAAGGTTTTGGAAAGAGTTCGTCTTGCACACCGAGGTTCACATGGGTGAAGTGACTTCCCTGTGAGGCATCCAGCAGAGCTGGGCCGTGACCTCAGACCCACCTGGCTCTTGGAGAGTTGTGTTGGTTAAAAGCGAGAGCTTCGCGGCTTCCCTCTGAATCCCAGCTCTGCCAGGTATGGCCTCAGTGGCCTCGGGCAAGTCCCTGCTCTGAGCCTTTATTTGTAAAACGAGGGTGGCAGTCGGCCTGCTTTCATAGGAGATCCAGGGGAAGGTGGCACTGGGTCGCTCGCCTCAGCCCCTGGTGACTCCTCGTCCTTTGGCTTCTGTCTCCGCAGGAAGTGCACGACCTGCTCAGCGACTATGAGCTCAAGTACTGTTTTGTGGACAAATACAAAGGGACAGGTTTGTGGGGCTGTGGGTGGGCTATCGGCAGCGGGACAGGCCCTGAGGCTGGGTGGGGCCCGGTGCAGCGTCTCCTCTCCTGAACTTTGGGCCCAACATCGTCCCCTTGGCCAGCACAGTACCCTGTTGCCCCAGTCTGACCCTCGTTCTGGGTGCCCATCGTGGGGCAGCCTTGTTCTTCTTCCCGGCTGCCCAGCCAGAGACCTGGGCATGGGGCTCCCCGCTTCACACGCCCTTCCCCAGCGGCCAGTCACCTAGGCCTGTCTGGTCTCCTCCTTCGAGGCTTCCAGAACAGTCGGTGCCTCTCCATTCCCTTGGCTTCCATCTGCTCCGTGCTCCCTCCATCTCTGCCTCAGTGGCAGCCCCTCTCTGGCCTCCCTGCCTGTATGATTTCACGCCCCCAGGCAGCCAGCTCCAGTCTGACTGCAAATCTGCTCAGACCTCCAAACGCTGATCGTTCTTCTCCTTCTTGAAAACCTCTCTGAGCCTCCTCCTGAGCCCACCTTGCAAGGATGTACCCCAGCCTTGCCATCGCCTGGGGCACCCGTGAGATTCCAGGCTGTTCCCTCTGCCCCTGTTCTTAGCTGCGCCCTCTTCCATCCATGTGCGTCAGGCAGCTCCTCACAGAGCCCTGAGCGCCCCCCCATCCTAGCCATGACCCCCCTGGGCTGCAGTTGCTGCCTCACTCATCTTCCTCCTGCACGGAGCCATCAGCTCCGTGCCAACAGGGCCAGGCCTTGGCGCCCCTCCAGCATGGGAGGCTCTCGGTGGCTGTCTGTGCCCACCAGGCATTGTGCTGGGCCGTCAGACCCTCCAGGACCTTTGCTTACAATCTGTCACGTGAATGTGAAGGAGCTGAGGGAGGACAGGTGACCCCTCAAGACTTACCTGGTGGGCTAGGGTGGTGGCGAAGATCTTGGGCCCTGGAGGCAAATGGACCTGGGTTCGAGTCCCAGTCTCTTCTCACTCTGTGGCCATAGGCATGTGGTTCACCCTCCTGGGCCTCAGCCTTCTCACCAGCAAATTGGGCATGACCTGCTTGGCTTGGCTGTGAGGCCACCACGTTAAAATACCTAAAAAGCCGAGGGCGCCTGGCATCTGGTTGGTGCTTGGGAGACACTGGCAGAGGCCACAAGTCAGCACTGTTCCCTGAGCGCCTAGTATGTGTTTGTGCCAGGCCTCGAGGACCCAGGGGTTAAGGGACACTTCCATTCATATAGTCTTCTAACAGATTATTTATTGAGCGCCTGGGTGCTGGGGACTCAGTTGTGAACCAAACAGAGATGGTCTAGTTTGGGGAGGAGGCTGTTACTCAGACGGCTGCCAATGTGAAGGTGGAATGGTCACAGGACCAGGAGCTGCAGGGCACTGTGGGAGCACGGAGCCGGGAACTGAAACAGGAACGGTCAGGATAGGCTTCACGGGGGAAGTGATGTTTGTAGTCAGCTTGAAGGGTGGGTCAGGGTTAATCAGGTGAAGAGGTGGAGGTCAGTGCTTATGCTCAGAGAAAAGCAGGTTCAGAGGCCTGAGGGGGAGCGTGCCTGGCGTGGTGCATGCAGGAAGTAGCGGCCAGAGATGGGAGTGGAGGTCAGCAAGGCCACGGGGCTAGGCCATGCAGGTTCCGTGGGCCCCTGCAGAGAGGGGCCCCTGGGCAAGGGCATGGCATGATCTGATGATCATTTTGAAAAGCTCCCTGTGGCTGCTGGGGGGAGAGCCAACCAGGAGTCGGGGCAGGACCACAGCTGAGACAGAGGCTTGGACATGAGAGCTGTTGGTGGCCTGGAAAGGTGGTGAGGGAGGGGCGCAGTGCCCTCCTGTCTGGGTTCGAGTCCAGGCTCCTCCACTTGGGCAGGGGGCGCTGCTCTGGCCCATTTCCTCGCTGGCACAACGGTGGTTGGGAGGAGTACCTTAGTCCCATTTGACAGATGGGGAAACTGAGACCCCAAAGCCACTCGGGGGGCTGGAGTTGAAATCCAGGCTCCAGTGACCACATGTGTAACTACGACTGTGTGTGTCAGTGAGTTACGCACGTGTGTCCTGGGACGGAGCCGGGTGCACAGCCGGTGAGCATTACGGTGGGTGGTGAGCGGGCCGGGGTGCGGGCAGGGAGCCGGCCTCAGGGAGCAGGAGCTGCCGCACGAGTTGCCCCAGGCTGGCGACCCTTCCTGTCGGTGGGTGCCTGAGATGCCTGGAGATGTCTGGGCGTTCCTTCCGGACATCGAGGGTCACCCATGGGGTAGAGGGTGGACGGGTGGGTCCTCGGGCCCCCTGACCCCGCGTCCCCGCTCCCGCAGCCTTCGTGACTCTGCTGAACGGGGAGCAGGCCGAGGCCGCCATCAGCGCCTTCCACCAGAGCCGCCTGCGGGAGCGCGAGCTGTCGGTGCGGCTGCAGCCCACGGACGCCCTGCTCTGCGTGGCCAACCTGCCGCCCAGCCTCACGCAGCAGCAGTTCGAGGAGCTGGTGCGGCCCTTCGGCAGCCTGGAGCGCTGCTTCCTGGTCTACAGCGAGCGCAGCGGCCACTCCAAGGGCTACGGCTTCGCCGAGTACATGAAGAAGGACTCGGCCGCCCGCGCCAAGTCGGACCTGCTGGGCAAGCCCCTGGGCCCGCGCACCCTCTACGTGCACTGGACAGACGCCGGGCAGCTCACACCCGCCCTGCTGCACTCCCGCTGCCTCTGCGTCGACCGCCTGCCACCCGGCTTCAGCGATGTGGACGCCCTGCGCCGGGCGCTGTCGGCCGTCCACACGCCCACCTTCTGCCAGGTGAGCGCTGTGCCCCCAGCGGGGCCTGGGGGAGCGGGTGCTGGCCGCGAGCCCCTCCGAGGGGCCCTCCGGAGTCACCTGCTATCTCTGATCTTCCAGGGCCCTTTCCAGCAAAGCAGCAGCGACGCCACATTGAAT